TCCTCCACAACTAGACTGAAGAACAAAAGGACAACAACTTGTCTGTTCCCCTTCCCCCAATTCCCCAGCACTATTCCCATCCCCCCAATTCCCCAATAAAAATCTAAAAAAAAAAAAAATAGCTACCTTGTTCTTAGTGGTAGGAAGAACTGGAGAGCATCATTATCTGAGCTTCTAGGCCCTGAATGTAATAATTGATCCTGCTGCCTGCTTCCCACTGCTACTTACAACTGTTCAGTCGTATCCTTTGTTATTTACCTTGCATTAAGAAAACACATAGGAATTGGTCTTCCATTGAGCTGTATAAAAAAATAATAGTGCCTCTTACCTTTAACCTACCCCCTGAATAGACAACTAAAGAGTTTACAGTCCTCTTTCCCATATTTCAAAGCGTATGCAACCATAATAGTTAAAAATATGATGTACAAATGTGTTTAAGTGATGACTATTAAAATTGATAAAGATGTGAATACAGTTTTATATGTATTTCTCAGTTACTATAATTCCTTTTATATCAGTAAAGCAGTGAATTATTAATCACACTATTCTCAATCAACCTTATGACACCTAGATATTATAACGGCATTGTAATGACTGCTTACCTTAATTAATAGAACATGTACAATACACCTGCAGCTAGTCCAATTCATTTTTTTAACTGTTAATTGTAGATTGAAGCATCTCTAGTATTCATTAGTATAACATTAATATAACTTCAGAATATACAGGTATCATTTTGAATAAGCTAAGATACTCATGATGTATTATTGTGATATAATTAATCTTACATTTAAATTGATTCTACATCAACTTCTTTCTTCTTTTTTTTTTTTTTTGCAGGCGTATATCATTAGCTAGTCCCCGTCAACTTTTTAAAGCTTCTAATATGACCCAGCGATGGCAACATAGAGAGATTTCAAATTTTGAATACTTGATGTTTCTCAACACAATAGCAGGTAATCTAAGCTCACATGTTGACTCATTTTAAACAGTCAACTGCTGTGATATGATTAGATTAATTTTGAATGCCAGTATAAATAGCTTATTACTGCTACACGAATTACCTTATCAAGGTATTAGTGTAATATCCATCCTTGCACAAGCATGAAATCTTTCCTGCTATTTTCCTTATTCCCACCAACTGAATGAATATTGTGTGTTTCTAGAATTTTCCATTTAATGTTTTCGGACTGCAGTTGAGTGAGAGTAACAAACTGTAGAAAGCAAAACCATGGATACATGGGGAGACTATTGTATATATGCATACATGTGTGCACCTGTGTGTGTGTGCGCGCGCGTGTGTGTACACGTGTGTGTGTGTGTGTGTGTGTGTGCACAAAGTGTATATCATAAAGATATAATGAGAAAGAAAACTGGAAAGGCTGTGTGTAAATATGGAAGATTTTCTGTCAATTTGAGGAGTTAACAGTCAATTCATTGGGAAACTTTTGAAAGTTTTTGAACAAATGAGTGATATTATTGTAGAACTATCTTGGAGGTAGAGTGAGGAATAAATTGGAGTGGAGAGAGACTTGGCAGAGAGCAAAGTTAGGAAACAATTATATGTAAAAAGTGAAAGCGTGCATTAGAGACATGACAATGGGAATTAAAAGATAATATTAAATAACAAGAATTTACAAGGTCCAAGCCATTTGACAACCAGCTAACTGTGTCACTGGATGTCATTACTTAAGAAGCAGTGTAGAAAAGTGTGTGGCAGCATTTAGGAGTGGGGGGAAGCAACATTGATGATGCTGTGCATGATATTCAGAGGATCATAGAATTTGAAAGCTGTCACAGAAATTTCAGAGTAATTCAGTGCAACTCCCTCCTTTTACGATGACTAATGCATGCCCACCGGGGTTAAATCTCTTAAACTTGGTTGTTTGGTTGGTTGGTTGGTTAACTAATGGCAGGGAAAGGAATCCGGTTTTGAAGAGCTCTATGAAAATTGCAAATTGTTTTTTAAAGTCTTAATAAAGAAGGTTTTATTTGGTATAGGCTTTCAAGTAATAAAAATAGTCAAATGTACTTTATGAGAGCATAAACTTGGGGGCCAGAGTATCTGGATTTGAATATGGTTCAACCATCACAAGCTACAGCATTTTGGAAAAGTTTCCAAACCTTTTGTGCCTCAGTTTTTTCATCTGTAACATGGGGATGATAACGAATTTCATAGGGTTACTATGAGGATTAAGTGAAATAATATAGGGATACCACTGAGAGCACTGTCTGGCACTCAAAAAACTGTCAGTTGCATTTTTAGTAAAAACTACACTTCTGAACCTGCTTACCATTTCATTATTCTAGATTAAATGACTTTTTTCCTCTCCCAGGACGGACGTACAATGACTTAAATCAGTATCCAGTGTTTCCGTGGGTCATCACTAATTATGAATCCGAAGAATTGGACCTTACCTTGCCAAGTAACTTCAGAGATTTATCCAAGGTAACTTCTCACCTGAAATATAATTGTCTTGCATTAAAAAATATACTTGATTATTTTTAATTTTCACATTTGTTTTTACAAGTCTTTTAAATATAATTGTAACTTTAATATATTTATCTTTTAAATGAATTTTCAGTTTTATTAAGTTGAAAATTGAAAAATGTAATGTGCATGAAAATTTGATGGTGATTAAAAATGTTGTTATATATTTTTTCCGGTAAACATTTAAGAAGGCGTTATCCTCAAATACCAACTTCTTCTGAGGGTGTTAGTATTTGATAAAACATACAAAGCAGACACGGAAACCTCTCAGCACTACTCTTATGAAAGGACCAGTTACCCTACTCCAGGCCCCCTAACTGACCTCCCTGCTACCTCTTGCCCTTATTTCATCCATTGCTCACTACAACAAAGCGGATCCTTTCAAAATCTAATTTTGAATCATATAAATCAGTGCTTAAAGTTTTCTTGGCTTATTACTGAATGGAGAATAAATCTTTCCCAATTCACAGCTTTGCTTTCTCTGCCGTTAATGTTTGTCTCCCTGCTTTGTGAGTGTCCGACTCTCTTTGCTTTTAGGTCACCTCTTCAGAGACCATTACTGACTCCCTCCCTTCCCTGCTATTTGCTGTCTGTGTCTTTCAGAGCACCTGAAATATCGTGCATTTTACGTCGGCTGCTACCTACTTGTTTGATTCTTCTTGTCCCCCCACTAAGCTCCATAGGATAGAGTTCTTGTTCACGCTTGCTTCCATGCCTAGCACAGGACCTGCCATGCATAAGTGTTAAATGAATTGAATAATAAAGTGTATCTTACATTTTCCCCAAGTTATAAAATATTAAGATTAACTGTATTAGAGTTTTAAGTGTAAAATATGTAAATAAGAAAACAAAAATCACTTAATTTTTCACATATCAATAAGGAATAATTACATTTTATATATGTGTGTGTGCGTGCGCGTGCACACACACAGACACACACAGACACACACCATTTTTTTTTCACTTTCTGTAAGTATTTTCCCATGTCTTCAGGCCTTCTTCAAGAAATTTCCTTTTCTGTCCTGGATTATCAATAAAGAGGATATCCTGAATCATCATTTTGTGATATACAATGAAGTTATATGTCTTTTTTTCTTTTTAGCTCTTTATTATTGAGAATTTCAAGTATACACAAAAGTAGACAAAATAGCATAATAAATTCCCATCTACCAATCACCCTGCTTCAACAATTATCAGCTCATGGTCACTCGTTTTTTATCTTTGCTCTCATTTTCTTTCCACCTTCCCATATAACTTTTAAGCAGATCCTAGATATCATATCATTATATTCATAAATATTTCAATATATGCTTCTATGAAATAAGGTCTCTTTTTAAAGCATAACTATAATACCATTAGCAAGCCTCAAATATTAAAATAATTTCTTAATAATTTTTTAAATATCAAATACTCAGTAGGTATTGCATTTTCAATTAAATTACAACTTTCAAAATTCTTTTTAATTTGTTTATTCTAGTCAGGATGCAACTAAGGACCACATATTAGAATCAGTTGATATACCTCTTAAGGCTTTATTCTGTAGGTTTCTCTTCCATCTTTTTTCTGTCTGATTAATTGAAGAAGCGTATTGTATGGAGTTTGCTTATTACATCCCTGTGTATAGTCTAACAGGTTCCTTTGTCATCTGTATTTCTTATAAGTTGGTAGTTGGTTCCAAGGGTTGATAGAATTCAGATTAGATATTTTGGGCTTTGTAGGAAATTTTTATGTTCTTCTGTCAAGGGCATGTAGTATGTACCTTATTTTCTTTTGTGATGTTAGCAGACACAGATATTGAATGCCTAGATTAGTTTGATAAGGATTGCAAAGTGATAGTATTTAAATTGTCACTTCTATTTCATTTATTATTGGGAATCATTCTGTAACGAGACATCTCCCTTCATCTATTAGGTGAATGCAGGTTGGTAGGATTTCCCAGGTGACTGTGAGAAATAATAAACGGATAAATGTTTGTTTTTTGTTTTGTTGTGTTTTTTTTTTAAGGAAATCCTTAGATAAATTTAGGTACATTAGTTCTAAGACACTGCAATATTTCACTGGAATCTCTAGAATTCTCTGGTCTAATAAATAGGGACGATATTAGTTTGACTTGTGTAGTGAGCCATGCAATAGGTCAATAACAAAATGGAGAACTATTTAATTCTCAGGCTATTATATTCTACTCTCTCCATTATTTGAATTTTAGATATATAAAAATAAAAAAAAGTCTCATTTTTCATTAATTTGTTAAAATGTAAAATTTGCTTCACAAAATAAATTAGATTTGAATAAATCTTCTAGAGTTCTAGAAGAACTGCCTTTTTTTTTTCCCCTCCTTAACCGAGTCCTTCAGTTTGGACTTCTATGTAAGCACATAGTTTATTAAGACTTTTTTGTGCTTTAGAGGATTCTTTTTGTAGACTCTTCAAGATGCAGTGGGTAGTAAGATGCATTGTGGACAGCGTACATGTTTCTGTCTTGATGGAACAGTTACTAATGGTGATAAGTGGGAGGCTATTTGGATATTTCTGCTGAGGCTGTATTTCTGTCTTCTGCCATCATCGTCTCTGAGCGAAAGCTCCCTGAAGCCTGTTACCTCCTCACAACACTGTTCCTTGCCAACTGCCTCCATCCTCTGACCCTCGTCTTTGTTCTCTATGCCACTAAATATCTCACCTGACCAGAAGAAAGCCTCCAAAACCACTTTTTAATGTAGTTTATATGATGTTTTCTTTATGAGACTTCATAGAAATAATACTAGCAAAATGCTGTTATAGATTATTTGCCAGCTAAACAATCCTTTATTAAAATTGAATTTATTTGTTTGTTACAGATGTTTGTAAGGAATTTGCCAAATACTTCTGTTGGGTGGGTAAAATACTGTTTTCACTTATGCCTTTATAACTTATCTTCTATACATGATAAACAAGGCTCTTTTTTTTTGCCCAACTAGATGACCAATAGTAGTTTTTTTTTTTTTTTGGTTAGGTTAAAAGAAAAAAGGGGGAGAGCCTGGCTTCAAAACCAAAACGAGTTAATATTAATCTGTATCCATATATGTTCATATCCACCGTACAAAGCCATAAAAATATCATTTTTGTGATTTAGTGCCTTTAATTGTATCCATTTTTATATTGTGAAAGACTTGTACTTTTGGCTGAGGAAGGTTTATTTATAGAGTGCTGTTAACAGCTGAAAGGCACACACTTGCATAGTGAACAGTAGTGTAATTAGCAAGGCCAGGACGAAGCGGGGAGCTCTAACGCTCAACCACGAAGCTTTTAGCTAATATCTCCTTTCTTATAAAGCAGCAGTAGCTCAAATGCTACAAAAGTCATTCAAGTTCACAAAAATGAAAATCTACTAGTACTAATTATTTTCATTAAATGTTGATGGAAATAAGTGAGTTTGGAATTAACTACATTATTTTTAGTGAAATAATCAAGCATATTTGAAAATTGGACTTTGCACACATAAAATAGTGCTAATTGTTTACCATATAAAAGTATCTGATTCCTGTTGGTATTAAAGTCTGCATAATGTTTACACTGTGATTCAATTTTCAAAAACCTGTTTCTACACATATTTTCAGGACTGCATCTCATACGTGAAATAAGCTGTATCTGCATGAGTAATCATTATACTTGAATTATAAGAAAGTTTGTCCCATAGAATAGATTTAGCAAATATTATTATTTGTTTAAATAAACTCGTCAAATGGAAGAAAACATTGTATGCAAAGCTTAATTTAAAACATAGACCTTATCCCCATTCTTAAATAGATGACATAGCCTGACTAGCTTTAAAATGTATTACATTATTTATGCATATTCATGTCCCTTTAATTTCCCCAAAGCTGGTTTTCAGAGGGGGTATTAGTAGCTTTGATACAAAGCTACAATTTTATTTGGTAATCTCTTCCTTGTTGCACAGGGAATTTTCTTTCTGCAGCTGAATTAATGTGATCAGGACCCTTCTATATTTTTCTGATCCTTCTTTGAGAAAAGAAAAACTCTGAATAGAATGATGTAAAAAATGTCTCTAAGTTATAAAATTTTATTTCGTGTACAATTTTTATAAGAATTACAAATTAGTATTGTCAATCTTTTAGGAAATCAAATCTATTTTATTCTGAAAACCTGATGAAAATTAAGTATTTTTTATACTAACATAATAGTTTAAATTATTCTTTTGGCAGAAAAAAAGTTGGGATCAATTTTGAAGTTGATTTTTTCCCCTCCACTTTCTCCGTTGTTTCATCACTAGTCTAAAATTCTGACTGATGAGACAGCTAACCATGCATAGACTTGGGAGTGACATCAATCCATATTTTATAAATACACATTGATTTTCATATTTTGACAATGTTCTTGAAAGAAATAAGACTCAACATTTTCTTTTTGACCTTTCTTTATAAGAAATTATAATTAGGGCAGGACTATCATTACAAAATGTCATACCATAAAAACAAATTATGATGGCTGAATGTTTCAGTGCTTTGTAGGTTAGGAAGAAATTTTTTACTTCTCTGATTTATTTATTTATTTTCCTTAGTGGGGAGATTGATTGTGTAAACCAGTTTTCTAAGAGAGGAAAAACCAAGATAATCTGACGCAATGATCTCTTTTCTAATTGATCAGCATAGTTATTTTGATATATTGAATATATATATAGTATATGTACTACAATCTGGATACATATTTTAAAGAAACAAGTATGTTCTTAGATTGAAATGCAGTTGAAATGAAAAATTGGCTATGGATTTCAGAAGGTAGTAGCATTCCAGTTTTTTGGTTTTTTTTAAAGATTTTTATTGGGGATTTGGGGGGATAGGAACAGTGCTGGGGAATTGGGGGAAGGGGAACAGACAAATTGCTGTCTTTTTGTTCTTCAATCTAGTTGTGGAGGACGTTGCTTCACTGGCCCAAGTTGGCACCATCATTGTGCTCTTCCCCGGG